GTGAGGGAACCGCCAGAAGGCCCTCGGTGCTGGACCTCAGTGTCTGGGTAGAATGATACTGGACCGAGGCTGTTTAGGGCTTTAAAGGTCAGCACCAACACTTTGAATTGTGCTCGGAAACGTACTGGGAGCCAATGTAGGTCTTTCAAGACCGGTGTTATATGGTCTCAGCGGCCGCTCCCAGTCACCAATCTGGCTGCCGCGTTCTGGATTAGTTGTAGTTTCCGGGTCACCTTCAAAGGTAGCCCCACGTAGAGCGCATTGCAGTAGTCCAAGCGGGAGATAACCAGAGCATGCACCACTCTGGCGAGGCAGTCCGCAGGCAGATAGGGTCTCAGCCTAGGTACCAGATGGAGCTGGTAAATAGCTGCCCTGACACGGATTTGACCTGTGCCTCCATGGACAGCTGTGAGTCCAAAATGACTCCCAGGCTGCCCACCTGGTCCTTCAGGGGCACAGTTACCCCATTCAGGACCAGGGAATCCTCCACACCTGCCCGCCTCCTGTCCCCCAAAAACAGTACTTCTGTCTTGTCAGGATTCAACCTCAATCTGTTAGCCGCCATCCAACCTCCAACTGCCTCCAGACACTCACACAGGACCTTCACCGCCTTCACTGGTTCTGACTTAAAAGAGAGGTAGAGCTGGGTATCATCCGCATACTGATGAACACCCAGCCCAAACCCCTTGATGATCTCTCCCAGCGGCTGCATGTAGATGTTGAAAAGCATGGGGGAGAGGACAGAACCCTGAGGCACCCCACAAGTGAGAGCCCAGGGGTCTGAACACTCATCCCCCCCCACCACTTTCTGAACACGGTCCAGGAGGAAGGAGCGGAACCACTGTATGACATTGCCCCAGCTCCCAGCCCCTCAAGACGGTCCAGAAGGATGTTATGGTTGATGGTGTCAAAGGCCACTGAGAGATCCAGCAGAAGTAGGAAACAGCTCTCACCTTTGTCCCTAGCCCGCCGGAGATCATCAACCAGTGCGACCAAGGCAGTTTCAGTCCCATGATGAGGCCTGAATCCCGACTGGAAGGGATCCAGGCCAAAAAGAGCAGGTGATGTCACAAGGCTGTCAGTCTTGAACTGCAGGGAAGAGAGACCCACTCAGGGAAGGCCTGTAGCTTAGTGGCAGGGACGCGGACTTATAAAAAATATTGGGGGGGCCCGGGAAAGCTCATGAATAATAAATAAGCTCATGAATATGCAAATAAAGTGGCGCCGCCTCCTCGTGAGCGAATAGGGGAGAGCGTGCTGCGCCTATTAATCAGCTCCAAAGGAAATTGGGTGGAGCTTTTGCTCGGGAGGGAGGGCAGGAGGCATGCAGCCCGCCGCTCCCTGTACATTTTGGGCTGGGGGAGGGGCGGCGATGGCGCTCTGCTGGAGGGGTGCCGGAGATTATTGGGGGGCAGAGCCCCCCCAAACGAATTTTTGAGGGGGCTTGGGCCCCCTCAAGCCCCATGGAGTCGGCGCCTATGCTTAGTGGTAGAGCATCTTGAAGGTCCCAGGTTCAATCCCTGGCATCTCCAGGTAAAGGTGTGAATGTCCTCAAAGAACTACTGCCAATCAGTGTGGACAATATTGACCTAGAGCAGTGTTTCTCAAAACTTGTTTGACTTTTGTTGGACTACAACTCCCATCATCCCTAGGGGTCAGAAGGGACTAATGGGGTCAGAAGGACCAGGGGTCAGAAGGGACTAACGGTCGGACTCGGTAAGACAGCTTCCCATAATAACCACGTAATAACAGAGAAAAATAATTAAGAAGCTCCCCCAATCGTTAACTCTTAGCTTGAGTCAGATAGGAGACCTGGAAGGTCACATTTCCCTCCCACCCCACCCCATAGCTGTCAACCTTCCCTTTTTTTGGAGGGAAATTCCCTTATTCCAGCGCCGTTTCCCGCTGCTATCCCGGATTGTTAGATATCCCGTAGACTGTCCCCGGGACAAGTGAGGCTGCTGATCCCTTATTTTCAAATCTGAAAGTTGACAGCTATGTCCCACCCCCCACTGGCCTAATGTTCCCCACTCCAATCCTACACTAAAGTTGCTTAAGCTAAGAAAGGCCGGAGCTGGGTTTGTGCCTGGAAGAAAAATACAGTGGTACCTCAGGTTACATACGCTTCAGGTTACATACGCTGCAGGTTATAGATTCCGCTAACCCAGAAATAGTACCTCGGGTTAAGAACTTTGCTTCAGGATGAGAACAGAAATCGCGCAGAGGCAGCGTGGCGGCAGCGGGAGGCCCCATTAGCTAAAGTGGTGCTTCAGGTTAAGAACAGTTTCAGGTTAAGAACGGACCTCCGGAACGAATTAAGTACTTAACCCGAGGTACCACTGTACCTGCATCTTCTATGTACAGTATTTTTTGCTCTATAAGACTCACTTTTTCCCTCCGAAAAAGTAAGGGGAAATGTGTGTGCGTCTTATGGAGCGAATGCAGGCTGCGCAGCTATCCCAGAAGCCAGAACAGCAAGAGGGATCGCTGTTATCACTGCACAGCGATTCCTCTTGTTGTTCTGGCTTCTGAGATTCAGAATATATTTTTTTCTTGTTTTCATCCTCCAAAAACTAGGTGCGTCTTGTGGTCTGGAACGTCTTATAGAGCGAAAAATACGGTACCTTGTCCCAAGTTCCATTGAAGAAAAGTAATGTGTACACACACACACACACATATATGGGGTAATCAGTGGCTGCTCCCAGACTCTGGAACTCCCTCCCCAGACTCGCTCCCTCTGGGGTAAAAATAAAGAAATAAATAATAGTGTCAGCTGAGTGGTTAATGCACTTAACAACCATCCACCCTATGCAATTTGCCCAGTCCTCTTTTAAAGCAGTCCAAGTTCGTGACCATCACTGCCTCCTGAGGGAGCAAATGCCATAATTTAACTGTGCACTGCTTTTAGTCTACTTTGCAGCAAGCTATTAGGTTTCACTCTGGCATCATGGATTGGCACAGCTAAGCACAACATCCACAGGGTGGCCCCAGCCCTTCCATCAATCTCCTGTTAGCAGGGCTGTTGGCCGTTTGCAAATTTCCGTCGCCGCCCCGCATGATTGACATGCAATTTTGCATGGAGTTTCCCTCAGCTCACAATTTGGCTCTCACCATGCCTGAAAACAAGCAAACAAGAATTCCCTTCCTCCTGCCACTCAAAGAGAGTAAGCCCGCCCCCGGGAGCCTTCATTGGTAAATGCATCTTAATCGCGTGACTTCTTCTGGCCTACCACAGCTCAAGAGAGGCCTCCCACCCCCACCCCGCTGGTTGTTTTGTAGCCCTTTGACAACTGAATCGCCAGGCTCGCTGGATGTCAAGCTACAGGATCTCCTATCTGAGCCGCCTGAGATCGCTGGAAGGAAACCTGCAATCCTAACAAGGCGGGCACGCCCGCCCGCTTCCTTAGGAAAGGGGCTTATTACAATTTAACAGACTCGACTGCCAAGTAAACATGCAAAATAGAAGCAGCAAGTCTCGCCTCTCTGCGTCGTTAACAACCACCCACCCCGCGCGCTTTTTAGTGGAATAGGATTGTGCTCGCTCGCCTTAAATTAGGGACGGGGAACCTGCAGCCATTCAGGAGTCTCTGGGGAGACCCCTCCCCGCTCCGGTCTGGGACAAAAGAGTTTTGCTCACGCAACGTAACAGCGGATTAATTTGTGGAAAGTAGGTCAAGACACGGCTTTTGCGCTGATAATTCCATTTTAGTAGACTAAAACAGCGTCTGGGTACCAGATCCCGGGACTAGCAAGCCCGCACCTAGCGCAGTGGACGCTGCTTTTCCGAGTATACATGCACAGCGTCCGCCACCCCACGGCTGCTAACTCGGAAGCAACTGCGACTCTGTCCAGCGTGGCCCGCGCCCAGATTAAGCGTCCACAGGCTGGCAGCTCGAGCAAATATTCTCCGTAGAGCATGCTCAGTGGCAGCAGGAAAGGGTGGGAGGCGAAACGCAGCACAGCCGGAGCCTTCGCTTGTTTACTCCTTAAGTATTATCGAGTACAATGGCCCTTGATTTTTAGCAAACCGCGCTTGAGATGGCAGCCTTGCAGGCGCAGCTTCGAGTCGTTGCGCCGAGCTAAGCGGTTCACCGAACCGAGCTCCTATCTGCTCTCTCTCCAGCCCCACATCCGCCCCGCCAGTCAAGTAGTATTCAGGGGGCTCCTTCTACCGTTTGAGCTGTCACAACTCCCGTCCCAAGCACACCCCAGCTGCCTCTAGCATGTACGCATGCGCCCTGGGGACCGCAATAGCTGGGGGGTTACGATCTTAAAAGTATCCGATCGCGCGTAGATACCGTCTTACTCCCCACCCCCCACCCCCCGCGCGCGATCCCTTTCTTGCAGCTCCGCCGTTGCAACATTCCCCCGCAATCGCCCAACGTTCTAAAGCAACAAAGAACGCTTCCCCACACACCCCACCGCCTTCCCACGCTGCCGCAACGTTCGATCGAACCCCGCAACGTTCTATCCGCCGCGGCGGCTCGTTTGCAACGTTCTATTCCACCCCTCCTCCACCGCTGCCGCCGCCGCCGCCTCTTTCTTCCCCCGCCCCGGATCGTCGCAGCGTTCAATCCCCTCCCCCTCCCTCTCCGGATTGTTGCAACGTTCCATCCGCTGCTTGCTCGCCGACGTTCCAAAGCAGGCCGCGGACGTTCGATCGGCAGCAGCAGCAGCAGCAGCTCATCGGATCCTTTTCCGCCCTTTTCCCCCTTTCTTTCAATCCGCATCCTCCGGCTCCCACGCTCTCCCGTCTCTTCCCCCCTCACGTGTCCCGGGCTCCCAGCTGGGGAAGGAGGGGAGAGAGAGAGAATCTCTCGCTCTCTTTCCTCCTCACATGACCCGAGTGTTTGTCCCCGTGATCAGCGCCTCGGCTCCCGTGTCTCCTCCGCGTCCCCTCTACCTCCATCCGGCGTGAGATTTAAACTTCGTCCCCTCCCTCCTCCCCTCCCGCCCCCTTCTCCCCCTGGTGCTGCGGGGGTCTTTCCCCCACCCCCTCTCCCTCCCCCTCCCTTTCCCCCCCTTCCCTTCTCCCCCCATGGACATGCTGGATCCCGGCCTGGACACAGCCACCGCCTCCGCTGCATCCAGGTAAGGGGGAAAGATCCCACGACACCCCCATTTAACAGGGCGGGCGGGGGGGGGGCTACGGCACCCAGCCTTCCCTCTCTTCTCGGGCCTAGCGAGGGTGGGGGAGGGGAGAGGGAACCAGCCATGATCCTCCTGCGGCGGCGGCAGCAGCGGCGCAGAGAGAGTGGGGGAGAACAAAATGGAGGACGAGGCAGAGCTTAGGCTCTCCGGGACGGGGGAAGTGGGACACGGCAATTCCAGGGGACGTGACCTGGGGCTGAGAACTGGGTGTCTGGAATAAAAGGGAAAGTGTGTGTGTGGAGAGAGAAAGGAGAGGTTGTGATCAGGAGGACTCCGTGCCATTGTAGGGTGAGAAGCAACGGGACACCCCCCCAAAAAAAACCCCCACACAACCCCACAATCGCACACGCACCGTCCAAGATCTGAAATGCATTGTCAAGAGGGAAGGGGAAGATAAATCTTGGGTTTATGTGCATTTGGAGAGGGGTGGGGAAAGCATTCAATGTTTTTTTTGGGGGGGGGAGGACACAAAACACTGATTGGCAGGTAAGGGCTGGGAACGGGGGTAAGTGACTCTGAACAGGGAGGAGGCTGCCAGGGTGATCAGAAAAAGTGGGGGTGCGATTGTGGGGCTCCAAAGGAGAGGGAGTGATGGGGGTGAGTAGAGGGTGTTAAGTTGAGAGTCCAGCAGTGTGTTGTAGTGGTTAGAGACTCGGGGTTAAATCCCATGTCCTGAATGTTCTGGAGTGACACCCCCAGGCATGCTCTCGCTGCCTAACCCTACACCAGTGGTTTGTTAGGATTAAAACGGGGGGGGGAATGCACATTGCGTTCCTCATTCTCCTCCCAAAGCTCCTTAGTGCAGGCATGGGCAATGTGTAGCCTTGCTTTGGGCTTCAGCAGCCACCATCCCCAGCGAGGGCTACTGGGACTGTGGCTGCTGGAGAGAGGGGCGCTGGGAGTCCTCCATCACAGCAGCCCAGGGGTCAGATGTTCCCCAGCCTTGCCTCAGTAGAAAGGTGGAACAAAGTAAGAAAAAGGCCTGGCGGGCTTGGCAACATGGTTCCTTCACTGCGAACAGAGGACCAAACACCAGTTCACCCGCTGCTGTTTCTGGGGGTGTTGTGTGGACACCTAATGTTCATCAAGTGAGCACCTACGACATGCAGTCGTGACCACTGTGCATGGTGCATACATTATTGGAGAACTGGGATTGGCTGCTGCGTTTCCTTGAGAAAGATACACACCTGGTGGGAAATCCAAAAATACTGCAGTGCATTGCGGTCTGTATTAGGACAGCCTTCCCCAACCTGGTGACCTCCTGTGCTTGTGGGACTGCAGCTGCCATCCTCCGTGATCATTGACCATGCTGCCTGGTGCTGATGGGAGTTGTAGTCCTAAACATCTGGAGGGGCACCAGGTTGAGGACAGCCACCCTAGGAATAGTCTTTGTTTCCTTCCGGGTTGCAGTGCTGCTTCAAGGAGAGCCGTCTACCCTGTGGCAGTTGGGCAGAACAGCCAGTGCAGAATTGTGCTGTGCCTTGACACTCCCCTCCCATGACTCCGCTCGCCTATGGTGAGCAAAACTGGATTCTGGGTGACCAGGCAGTGAAAGTTCCATAATTTAGAAGAGAGGGGGCTTAACCATGGGTATGCCACAAATGACTAACATGAGCTATGTGTGAGGCTGTAAGAGCTACTGTAGGCAGTAATATTTGTGAATCGATTTGCAGGACTGAGTTGTTTTCATGGAGAAGCAAGGGCGGTTACATTAGCATCCTGGAATTTGCCTCCTGGGTGAACACATTTGGGAGGGTAAAAAGGTAGAGTCCCTAGATGATTGTTGGGACTGTGTGAGCAGAGGGTTCATATGGAAAGGAGTGGTCCGCCGAATGAACCCTGGGAATCCAAGCTCTCTTCATTTCATCTGCCTAGTTTGTTGTTGTTGCTATTATTAAACCATTGGGAGTTGGAAATCTTTGCTGATCTACTGCACATGCAAATCAGCCTTATCTAGGGCTGCCATCATACATCCAGGTTTTTCTGGACACATCTGGGAATCGGGCTGCAGAATGGCATCTGGGCCAGCCTTTCTCAACCTGTGGGTCCCCAGATGTTGTTGAACTACAGCTCCCATCACCCCTAGCTAGCAAGGCCAGAGCTCAGGGATGATGGGAGTTGTAGTCCAACAACATCTGGGGACCCACAAGTTGAGTACCACTGATTCTGGGTGGATTTTTGCTGAAATGGCAACATGTCCAGAAAAACCCAGATGTATGGCAGGTAGGGCGATTATTACAGTCATACCTCTGGTTACAGATGCTTCAGGTTGTGTTTTTTCAGGTTACAGACCCACCAAAACCCGGAAGTACTGGAACAGGTTACTTCTGGGTTTTGGGGGTCGTGCATGCGCAGAAACGCCAAATCGCAACGCGTGTGTGCGCAGACGTGCTGCTGCAGGTTGCAAACGCTGCAGGTTGCAGACACGCATCCCGCATGGATCACGTTCGCAACCCGAACGTCCACTGTATTAGTATTTTTTAATGCTTAGTAAATCCAAGAAAAGCACCAAAACATTTTTTGGGTGGGGGAGATGCTCCCCCCAGAATACTCAACAACTTGTTTTAAAATGGACCTGTATAGATTGGTTGGGACGCGGGTGGCGCTGCGGGTTAAACCACTGAGCCTAGGACTTGCTGATCAGAAGGTCGGCGGTTCGAATCCCTGTGACGGGGTGAGCTCCCGTTGCTCGGTCCCTGCTCCTGCCAACCTAGCAGTTTGAAAGCACATCAAGTGCAAGTAGATAACGAGGTACCGCTCCGGCAGGAAGGTAAATGGCGTTTCCGTGCGCTGCTCTGGTTCGCCAGAAGCGGCTTAGTCATGCTGGCCACATGACCCGGAAGCTGTACGCCGGCTCCCTCGGCCAATAAAGCGAGCTGAGCGCCGCAACCCCAGAGTCGGTCACGACTGGACCTAATGGTTAGGGGTTCTTTACTTTATAGACTGGTTGCTATTCTTCACCTCCCTATTCCTGATGTCATGTGTTGATTCGCCTGATATCACCCATGACTTCTTCCCAGAGAGCTTTCCTTCAGTAGAACACACACACACACTTTGTATGTATAGAGTTTCCTGGACCTTTCGCCCATCCAAGCACAGGCTTTCAGCAATATTTGCTGCATCATGTGCGTTCAGACATTATTGCGTCGGGGTGGGGGGACCACCGGGGGAAAGATGCACAGAGGCTGGCAGGATAACAGCTTCCTTGAGGAAAAGCGGCTTTTCTGAGTTTGTTGTTCAGGACGTTAGACTGGGCCTGGAGAGACACCTGGGCTCAGATCATCGCTCAGTCATGAAATTCACTGAGTGACCTTTGGGCCAGTCCCTTTTGGTCTACTCAGTCTACCCCAAGGCATGGTGAAGAAGATAAGAGGGTGATCCATGGAACTTCATGCAAGTGAATAGTTGGGCTGCAGAAAGAGGATCAAGGTGCTTCTTGCTCCCATGTCAGGTGTGCATGTGTGTGCGTGTGTATTTGCAGATTTGTCATTTTTGTGGTGTTATTTACAAGGCTGGTGGTATGCGTAAATGCATACTGACTTTCAGGCTCAAAAATCACACTGTTAGCCACTCCTAGACCAGAGTGTGGGCAGATTTGTGCAGATGTTGCTCAGGCCCAGCTCCCATCACCCTTGACCGCTGGTCATGTTGGCTGAGGCTGCTGGGATTTGAGACTCCCACTGTTACCTGGAGGGACCCAGGTTAGCCACCTCTGTGCTTCCTCAGCTCCTGGCAGCGGTAGAAGGTGAACAGACAGGCAGGCATCTCTTAGATGCCGTCAACAGAGGTGAGGCCTAGCCCTGTTGGTGAGACATAAGAGAAAACGTAATAGGGGTTGCTACCCCAGATTCTTCTTCCCCTTCCCATCTTTGCTGGTACATTTCTTAAACTCCCGGAATTGATTGGGGGCATTTACCGGGGTTTAAATAAGGAGAGAGAAAGCTCCTAAGCAGGGGTGGGCTCTGTTGTGAACAGAGAGGAGCATGACTTGACGGGAGATGCCAGAGTTATCTCATGTGATTGTTGGTGATGCCAGGAGAACCATTGGAAGCGGCTTATGTAGTGTCAGGGGTAGGGAGGGAAACTGCCTCCTTCCAGCCCTCTTTGGGATTCTCCCCAGAACGCCACCCTTCTCACGAGCCCTACTTTGCACCCTCCGTGGCTGTTCTTACCTGGCTGGAATGGGTCCTTGGGATCCAGTGGAATGGCGCATAGAGAGTGGAATGCATCTGAGAAGCATATCTGCTCCACACTGACTGGCAGCAGCTCTCTCGGGTTCTAGGCAGGCGTTCTCTCCCCTTAAAAGTATCTGGGGAGGCCAGGGACTGAGCTTGGGACCGTTTGCATGGAGAATATGTGCTCTCCAACTGACCTGTCACCTTTCCCCAGGGCTGTCCCTTTCCCAGAAAAGGCCGTGAAAGCAAGGAGAGGGACTGCACTTACGAGATCAAGGAGGCAGTAAAGGGAGGTGGGGATGAAGAGTCTTGCGAGTTCTAGTACCCAGTGTATTGGGGAGGGGTTGGCCAGGTTTTTTTGGGGGGGGGCCTCTGGGCGAAATCTTACCTGATGGACCCCTTTGTAGGCCCAGACGAGCGTACCTGGCTGTGGCACTCTAGACAGCGCCAGAGCCATAGCTGGGTGATCTTGTGCCCCTGGCAGAACCATCAAGATTGCATCCCCCTAGCCACAGACAACTCAACTCTTCTTTCTACCTCTCCTCCAACCCGCGCCCCTCCACCCATTCAATTCAGCCTCTATTTAAAACCATTTCTTATGAGGCAATAATCAATATTTATGGACATATTTTTAGCCAATTTTTTGGGGGGGCCCCATCACCTGCGTCCCTAGCGGGTGGGCCCACCTCACTACCCCCTAGCTACGGCCCTGTACAGTGCCAGGCAGCTTCGCGCTGCAGTCCAGGGGCATCTAGAGGGTCAATCCTGATGCAGGGCAGACAGAACAATCCCTGTGGTTTGCCCCCAACATCTGGTCTCTGAGTTTCCATGGCTAGTCAAGATGACCTTGACATCATTGTCAGCTCTGCATCAAAGGTCTTCCCAGAAGTGCGTGCCAGTCACATAAACCCAATTTTATTGAGACCTCCCGTAAACTGGAAGTGCCTTTTTCTCTTCTGTACTCGAGTTCCCACATCTTATCCACAGACATTGCTTCTTCTCCCACCCCACCCCCAACCCGGCCACCTCCCCAAACTCAGCTGCTATCCCCACAGGAGGTGATAATAATTAGGACCCTGTTGTGTACCAGACAGTAATAAAACGAAGGGCTCCATCTATTTTCTGTCTTTTCTAGTCATTGTGGAATCCCTTTTTTATTATTTAAAAAACCACCCTTGTGTCTAATGTGTCCTACATGCTTTCAGCTGAGTATATTGGGGGTGGGGAGAAGTGGAAAGGCAGGGTCCCCCAGGGGTAGGGGTGGGTGACAGAATAGAGGCCCAGGTGCCATGATGTCTCAATGAAGCTCAAATGACTCATAGAATCACAGAATTGTAGAGTTGGAAGAGGGTCTCCAGGGGTCATCTAGTCCAACTCCCTGCAATGCAGCACAGCTTCTCCAGGATGGTGGCTGCCAAACGTTTTGAACTCTCAGTTCCCAACAACTTTGCAGACATGATCAGGGCTGATGGGAGTTATGGTCCAGCAACATCTGGAGGGATGCAAATTAGGGGACAGGCAAAGAGCCTGCTGGATCAGGCGAGTGGTCCAGCATCCTGCTCAGGTGGGGAAATTAGAATTAAAAAGAACTCCTGCCTTTCCTGCTACTCAGTGTGTTTATGTGGGTACACTGCAACACCGACACTGAATTCCTGGATATCATAATAGTTGGAGTTTTGGGGCGGCAGGGAGACGGTTAGCAGCAAATCACTTCTCCAGTGGCGAAGAACCAAAATAAAAGGTTTTTGAATGAACCAAGGAGTTCCGTATTTGGGCAGTGGATGTGTCACTCATCTTTATTGTCTAGATCAGCCTTTCTCAACCTGTGGGTACCTAGATGTTGTTGAACTACAACTCCCATCACCCCTAGCTAGCAAGGCCAGAGCTCAGGGATGATGGAAGTTGTAGTCCAACAACATCTGGGGACCCACAGGTTGAGAACCGCTGGTCTAGGTCTTTTCATAAAATGTCAGTCATTGGTGTGGCTTTGTTCATTGGCTAGAAACGCTGAAAGGCATGAGCTAGGCTAGTTTCTTACCAAACAAGTGGAGAAAATATCTCCTACCCATTTTGCCTCGGGTATTAGGCTTTCTACAAGCAGCTTACAATAGCTGGGTGCCTGGTGATTATGGAAGAAGGGGATTTAACTGTTGCCCTTGCCCAGCTCTGCTTGTGCCCCCTCTGTGGCGCAATGGGTCAATGTGTTTGGCTGTTAGCCAGAAGGTTGATGGTTTGAGCCCACCATGGGATGGTTGTGGGCGGAATTCCTGCATTACAGGGAGTCATATTGGTGACCCTCGGGTCCCTTCCAACCCCACAATTCTATCATTCTAAGAGCATCTTGGGATCTGAGAGTAAGGAAGGCCAGATCTGTTACTTGAGAATCTCCTGGGTTTTCCATCTGAGCTGCATTCCTGGGCTGCCAGAAAGGACCTTCTCCATGGCAGAGTCTGGGCTGGGACTAGCTACCATGGTGGCTTCTAGGCATTGCAGAATCCAACTCCCATCTGCCCCGGCCAGCCTGGCCAGTGGCCAGGGATGATGGGAGCTGTAGTCCACAACATCTGGAAGGTACCACATTGGCTACCCTTCACCCAGGCTTTAGAGCAGAGTTCCCCAAACTTGGATCTCCAGCTGCTTTGGGACTACAGTTCCTATTATTCCTGACCACTGGTCCTGCTAGCTTGGGTCCTGCAAGCTTGGCCCTCCAGATGTCATTGGTCTTCAACTCCATTGTCCTCACTACTGATGGAAGTTGGTGTCTGAAGGGCGCCCTGTTGGCTAGTCCTGGCCTAGACTCTGCCCTCTCTGGCATCCCAGCAAGATCCTGACGGTCATGATCATCTCTGTGGTTGGGGATGATGGGATCTGGAGGGTCGCAGGTTCCCTACTACTGTTTTCGCACTCCCTTCCTAGGGAGGCCCACCGCACACTTCCATCTCGAGTCTGCCGCAATGTAGACCCTTTTTGTTTCACTCGTTGACTTTCCAAATTCCAGTGAGCGTTGGCCATGCTGATGGGGACTGATGGGAGGTGGAGTCTAGGAAAAACAACACCATGGTCTAGGAGTCACTGGCCCCTAAGCACCTCCCTGGACCACGTCCATGGTATACCTACAACACAACCCTGAACCCTAACCCTTAAGAAGGATATGGAGGTAGCTTTTGAGCTCTTTAACCCAGCCTTTCTCCTCTGCGTTGGGCACCTTCCCTTGGCGTCTCGGTGCCATTCCTGCTCTGCGCCAATGTCTTGCCGAGATACGAGCCTTATCTCCCTCTGCCAGCGCGAAGAATTAAGATAGCCAAATGCTTTGCAGCGCCTCCGTAGCTGCAAGGCCGGGCGGTGTGTGCCTTCCTTTATCCTGTCTCCGTCAAAGCAAAAAGAGGATATTAACACCGAACCCTCGTGGCAGACATCAGCGCAGGGATCTCTGGCTTTCAGGAATGCGCGGGCTGAATATCAAGCTTCCTTGTCACCGATAGCGAGCAGGAAGTGAGGCTGTGTTGCTGCCCACTCCAGGGAACGGGGCTGGGTTTCTAGGCTCTGCACAGTGAGAGATTTGCAGGGGCTGTTAAATCAGTGGGAGAAGAGCTTGGCAAGAGGATGTTTTAGGGGCATTCTGTTGCCCAGGCAGTGTTAAAATTCTGCATGGAGGGCAGTGGAATTCTGGAGCGTCTTGTGCTAATGAAAGTTGGTCTCGTCTGCACAGAATTCCTCTTATTTTATGCAATTCTTCCTTTTATTGACAATTCTAATCTGCAATTGGGAATGAATGAATGTATCTTTATTTGCATCAGCCACCAGCCATAGCAATAATCAAAATGTGGTGTACAGAGGATAAAGGTAAAAAGTCAATTACAATGGTACCTCGTTCGGTTACATACGCTTCAGGTTACAGACTACGCTAACCCAGAAATAGTACCTCGGGTTAAGAACTTTGCTTCAGGATGAGAACAGAAATCATGCTCCAGCGGCGCGGCAGCAGTAGGAGGCCCCTTTAGCTTAAGTGGTATTCAGGTTAAGAACGGACCTCCGGAACGAATTAAGTACTTAACCCGAGGTACCACTGTATATAAAATGTATTTTGGGGGTTTGGGTCAATAGAGAAATAATGGATCTTATTTTAATTGCTCTGGCTAAAAACCTTGCAACCTTTACTGCACCTGCTCATCTTTATCTGCCAAGAGAAAGGACACTGTAACAGTGGTTGGGCAACCTGGAGTGGACAATAATAGAGGGGTGATAACCTCACTCCTCAAATCTTTATACAGAGTGCAGGCCAGAAGGACATGCACCACTGATTAATTACTGCTATCTCCACAGGGACGTAACAGGGAATTTTTTGGAATTGTCCCCCACGTACAGCCAAAGGCATTATATTCAATCTTGCAGGAGTAAAAGCACAATTCTTGCTCCTACTTTTCCCTCTGGTCCCATCTGCGCTGGACATTTAAAGCAGCATCATGCAACTTTAAACAGTCACAACTTTCTCCAAAGAATCATAAGGAGGTGTCATGCATTCCCCAACCACAGAGCTAAGATTCTCAGAGCTTCCCGCAAAGAGGGGTTGATTTTTCACCTACTCTGGGATGGGTAGCTCTGTGAAGGGATTAGGGGTCTCCTAAAAGCACCCTTAATAAACTATGCTCCCCATATTTCTTTGGGGAAAGCCATGACTGTTCAAAGTACTATGATAGTGCTATAAAGGTATGGTATGAATGCGGACTACCGTTCTTCTGAATGAGCTTTTGGAAGGGAAGAAGACCAAGAGCTTAGAGCTTTGCAGGCTTAGATTCTATTTCAGCTGACAGTTCTTTTTCTTCTCTCTCTCCCCCCCCACCTCCCTTTGTGTTACAGCCACGAGAAAGGTCAAGAAGGTGAAGAGGGAGTCGAGCTGCAGGAAGGTGAGGAGGGGTCCTGGGCTGGCCCAGAAAATGCCCAGCCAACCTGCGTGAGCAAGTTGTAGCCCCCGCTCGGGGAGGGATTTCTACCGCCAGGGCACCGCCCGATAAGTAAGGCGTACGAAATGTCTGTCTGTGAACAAAGCTGAATCTCTGGCCTCCTCCTGTCTGGATCCCACGGGGGCAGTGTGTTGGCAGCTGGAACCCCAAATCTCCCCGACCCCCTGCAGACCCACACAGCCCTAGAGCCCTTCTAGCATCTTGTCCTTCACTCAGGCGCATCATGCACAAGATGTGAGATGAGGGAAAGAGGAGGGAAGCAAACCCTTTCTTGCCATTCGTACGTCAGGGTTCGTCCTAGTGCATTTGCACTTCACAGAGTTTTGTGAGCAAGAAATAAAGGTCCCTGCCCCAGAGAGGTTTCAGTCGACCACCCCCTTGCTGTTGTTATTCCCTCCTCCTTTTCCTTCAAGATGTTCAGGGAAGCATACACAGAGATTCCTTCCCCCCCCTCTCTCTTGCACAGACAAACACACTTTTGTCATCACAACAACCCTGTGAGTTAGGTTCAGCTGAGAGGGTGGGTGGTCTGAGGTCACTTCATAGAAGTTATATGAGCCCAGCCTGAACATACTCTTTGCTCCTTCATATTCTCCACAGTTTAGACTCCTCGGCCTTTGGTGGATATTTAATGTTATCAAAATAGCTGTCCTTCCCACAAGGTAGTGACTGTGTGCTAAGTAGCAGCCTGCAGTAAGGCACATTTTGCGGACAGGATGTAGGTTTCTAGAACGACGTAAATGAAAGGGAGGTTGAAACTAGTTCAGGGTTTTAAATTCTGGAGTGGCAGGTTGTATAAATAAACCCACTACATGACTGAGATCAAGAGTGTGTTGTGTGGCCTGGACTGTTGCACCCCCCTCTCCCAAATCTGATGGGTTCCCCTGCGGGAGGACACCCCAGTAACCAAGCAGAGCCGCAGTCGCCAGAGTGACACCTCCACCGAGTTTGGTTCAAAAAAGGCATTTGATTATAGGCAAGAGAATAGGCTGTGGCGTGAGGGTTGATGCCCACAACAGCTGATGTTATTAATATCATTATTATCAGGAAGTCTGGGATAGCTCAGTCAGTAGAACATAAGACTCTTAATCTCAAGGTTGGGAGTTTGAGCCTCACATTGGGAAAAAGATTCATGGGTTGGACTAAATGACCCTTGTGGTCCCATCCAAAACTGTGATTGATTTGTTTCTTACCACAAAAATGTCTCGAAGCGATGAGTACAAAATCGTACACTATAGAAGATTTAAACTGCACCAGAAAAATAAAAAGAACCTTAACTGAACGAACTGAAAGTGCTTATCTCTCAGTAGCATAAAAAGGACCCACCCTACTAAATGATGAGCACTGATGCAGGCTGGGATATAATCATACCCTGTGACCCCAATTATGTTTGGGTAAACAGGAACACCTTTGGCACTTAAAGGTTAATCCTGATGTCGCCAGGGGGATGGCATTCCGCAGTTGGGGAGCCACCACTGAGAAGGCCCATTCCAGGTCACAAATGTGCCTGTTAGCCCCCAAAAGGCTGGCAAACCCCTGCAGCAGCAGCAACGACAACACCTGTGCCAATGAGGCTGGTGTGCCCTAGGGAGTGGCCCAAGCTGGCAGTAATCAATTTCCTTTCTCTCTCCCAGGAGACGGCACAAATGCGGATGAGCAGACTGCAGTGGCCATCGCCAGCGTCCAGCAAGCAGCCTTCACAGACCATAATATCCAGTACCAGTTCCGCACAGAGAACAATGGAGGACAGGTAGCAGAACCCTCGTCAGGGAGCTTGGCTTTTAACTGCGTGGGTACGGCGGAAGGGGTAAGAGCTTCAGGCGCAAGGGCATTGGCCCCTGGGCGGCTTCCCGCTGCCGACTGGCCAGTCGTCACATTCCGAAGAGTCACATGGTGTGGCGCTCGTGGGACCGCACCATTTCATTATCGGGGGTGTTTGTGCGTGTCATTGCATGATTGAATATATTCCCCAAATGTCTAGTCGCAGCATTGCCCACATTATTGGAGTGGGGTGGGGGGGGGGTCCCTATAAAACCCGCAAGCTCCAACCGTTTATTCTCAACCCCTCCACTCCAGTTTAGCCAAATCACAGACTCGTAAAATTGCAGAGTTTGGAGGAACCCCGACAGTCCAACCCCATGCAATGCAGGAATCTCAACTAAAGCATCCATGACAGACAGACACCCCTTGCCTCTGTATCGTGAGGACCAGAAGGACATGATCACTTCCTCCCAAGGTTCCCAGTACTTCCAAATTCGCTAGTCAGTTCCTCCCTGTTGGTGAGGACCAGGCCCAAGACAGATAATCCCCTTGTTGCCTCTTCCACATTTTGGGAAATGAAAGTGTCTCAGTTATATGCCTCAGTAACATTCCAAGAAGAACCATTACGAAAGATGGGGGACAAACCCGCATCACAAAAGGTGGGGACACCCTCCCCCACCACCCCTGGTAGCTCTCCAGCAATGGTTCCACTTTCCCTGACATACTAACTTTCTGTGTGCAGAATTTTGTGCTTGCTTTCACGTGAGGAAACGGTTGGTCTTCTTCATTTATTATCACCCAGGAGAATCCCTGAAGGGCTTCTAGCAGTGTGTTTCTTCTCTCCTCTTGAGTAAATCTCCTCTGGCTTCCAGAGATTTTAGCCGATGTTGCCATAACCTTAAGAACTAGAAAATTGTATTTGTGTGTTGTTGTTTTTTGCTGTCGTTTAGTTTGGCCAGTGTCTAACTTACGTGTCCCAACAATGCAAGGATTTCCACTGGAACAGCAGAACTTCCACCCCACCTCACATGCCACACCCTCCTCAAGTCTGCTCGGGAGGGCTGGGGGAAACCCAGAACAGGCTTAGGGGGCACGGTGGCAGAAGTGGGGAGGATGTTCTGTTGCACAAGTGTAAATCCTTGTGCTGGCAGGATTTGTTAGTTGGATATCGACCGCTGAAATACTCTAGGATGCTATATTCGGTACCGTTCTCCATCTTACTGTTTCTCCAGCTGAGGACCCTCGTTTCACACCAGGAATGGTCGCAATACAGACATGCTTTGATTTGACTTCTCTGTGGGACTGTCTTCCCCCTTGTCAAATTCTGCCGGAAGACTGACTTGCTATTTTGCTTCCTCGCTGCCAGGTGACATATAGAGTCGTTCAGGTGACGGACAGTCAGCTGGATGGACAGACAGATGCGACGGGGGCAGTCAGCGTGGTCTCGACAGCAGCTTTCACCAGTGGCCAGCAAGCTGTTGCTCAGGTGAGAGAGAAACTTTATTGGGGCCCAAAGGCGGCACCAGACGCCTTGCTTTTTAGTGATGCGTACTCCTTCCATCCAGTTCAGTCCATCAATCAAGTTGTTGCTCTAATCAGCAGACTGCACAATAAGAACTGCCTGCATCAGATAGCTTATTAACATAGGACACAGATGATCTCTTATTAACAGATAAAGGTAATGGTACCCCTGCCCGTACGGGCCAGTCGTGTCCGACTCTAGGGTTGTGCGCCCATCTCACTTAAGAGGCCGGGGCCAGCGCTGTCCGGAGACACTTCCAGGTCACGTGGCCAGCGTGACGAAGCTGCTCTGGCGAGCCAGCACCAGCGCAGTGCACGGAAACACCATTTACCTTCCCGCTATAAAGCGGTACCTATTTATCTACTTGCACTTAGGGGTGCTTTCGAACTGCTAGGTGGGCAGGAGCTGGGACCGAAAGACGGGAGCTCACCCCGCCGCGGGGATTCGAACCGCCGACCATGCGATCGGCAAGTCCTAGGCACTGAGGTTTTACCCACAGCGCCACCCGCGTCCCTTTTATTAACAGATAGGAGTGCTTTATTACGTTGCTGTTCTTCTGAAAACAGTGGGTTCCTCACCTGCCGGCTGATAACCTCTGTTCTTGTGACTCCATGCCTCCATTTTGGCTACATAAGGATAACTGATGTCTGTTGAGGTCCATATTTCTTTGGGGGGAATTTGTTGAAGGTTCCGTTTGAACGGGGGGGGGGGCGGAGACCAAAGTGAGCAAGTCTTTCCCCCTTTTCCTCCCTGTGCAGTGGGTTCCTGGGGGAGGAATACAGTGGTACCTCGGGTTACGGATGCTTCAGGTTACAGACTCCACTAACCCAGAAATAGTACCTCGGGTTAAGAACTTTGCTTCAGGATGAGAACAGAAATCGCGTGGCACGGCGGCAGCGGGAGGCCCCATTAGCTAAAGTGGTACCTCAGGTTAAGAACAGTTTCAGGTTAAGAACGGAACTCCAGAACGAATTAAGTTCTTAACCTGAGGTACCACTGTAGATCTCTCCTCTCCAGAGAGCTGAACTGATCTCTCGCCTGATACTTCTCCTTCTCACCCTCCCCCCCACAATCTTCCTTCTGCTTCTCCAACGTTTCCAGCTCCCTCCTCCTCAGCCCCTTGACTCCGTATGTTCTGTGTTTAGCTTTCCTGGGTGAAGATTTAACGTGACAGCCCTTATCACTTGCCTCAAATAATCGAAATTCCTTTTAACTTCTCCAGGACTGGCCTACTTTTTATTATTTTGGAAGGATTTCCACTCACTGACCACAAGAGGGCAGTGCGAACCTGGAGCATCCCAGTGAATCCTCATTCTGCGGCTTTCTGACTTTCTCAAATCGCACTCTGGCGTTGAGATGTTTTGGTTGACGTGCCAGCTCTGTCCCTAGAGGACTGTGCACGCTGTCCCATTTGCATTAGGATATAGTTTGGCAACTGGTTGGCAGGATGCAGCTACTGGTATCTCCCCAGTGCCCCAAAAACCAAAAAACCTTTCCTGCACACCTGTGTTTTTATACGGAAATCTGCAGCCACCTGCCTTGGCCCATTTTCCCAAGGAATGTACTCAGTGGCTCATCAGCACTTTAAAACAGTACAACTAGAAATTGTTAGCAGGGCTTAGTGGTAGAACATCTGCTTTGCTTTCCTGGTTCAATCCTCGGCATCTCCAGGTTGGGATGAGAGAGACCATAAATAATAAGTAATAATTTTATTACTTCTACTCCGCCCTTCTGGCCAGGCCTCCCCAGCCACTCTGGGCGGCTCCCAACAGAATATTAAAAGCACAATAAAACATCAAACATTTAAAAACTTGCCTAAACAGGGCTGCCTTCAGATGTCTTCTAAAAGTCAGATAGTTGTTTATTTCCTTGACATCTGATGGGAGGGCATTCCACAGGGCGGGCGCCACTACCAAGAAGGCCCTCTGCCTGATCCCTGTAATCTCACTTCTCGCAGTGAGGGAACTGCCAGAAGGCCCTCGGAGCTGGACCTCAGTGTCCAGGCTGAATGATGGGGGTGGAGACGCTCCATCAGGTATACAGTGGTACCTCAGGTTACAGACGCTTCAGGTTACCAAAATCTGCTAACCCAAAGTACCACTGTACTGGGCCAAGTCAGCAGTGCTTCTGCCAGTCACTGCAGAAATATTGAACTACATAAACCAATGGCCAGTGTGGTATAAGGCAGCTTTCTATGGTTATAAGTTAGATCAGTGGTATAATGTGTACTTTGCATACAGAAGATTCCAAAGAGCTTGTATGTATTAAGAGGAGCGGGGAGCGGGTTTCTTGGTGGGGGGGGGTGGATTGCAACCATAGAGTATAGATGTATTTGTTCATTTTTTCATCTATGAAAGCATTTATATTATTACTTATTTATCTCATAACGCGTATATAGCTCTTGGTCGTAGAGAAAACGTCTAAGCAGCTAACAAAAAAAAAATGCAGTGTTCAAATGATCACCAAAAAAACGTACACCTTAATTTTAAAATCATGTGCATCAGGTCTAATAAATCCAGGCTGAAAAGAAAAGAGCTATCTATTGTTTCTCACTTGCAAGTTTTATGAAAGGTTAAATAATAGAATAACACAAATAGTGATCATTAAGAGTGCAGCTGTTGACTAAGTGATGATTTGTAAAATGGATGTAACTAGGAAAGTAAATAAGAAATATGAATATGAAACTTAGTAACATAAGATGATAAGGAAGTATTCAAGAATGGCGTGTGGGAAACCACTTAAGGAAGTGTGATAAGTTTGGAAATAATTGGTAAATTGGGTTAAAATTGGGAAATCAATAAAAATAATTGGGAAAGAGAAAGGAAAAGGAAGGAGAACGGAAGAACCACAGTCAAAGAGTGCTGGTTTTTGACCTAAGAGCCTTAAATGGCTCAGAACCGCGAATACCTCAAGGACCGCCTCTCTCCATATGAACCGACCCAGACCCTGAGATCATCTTTTGAGGCCCTTCTTCGTGTGCCTCCTCCACGTGAGGTCTAGAGGGTGGCAACATGAGAATGGGCCTTTTCTGTGGTGGCTCCCTGTTTGTGGAACGCTCTCCCCAGGAGGTTCACCTGTGACCTTCCTTATAGACCTGTAGGCACCAGGTGAAACAGTTTCTCTGTAACCAGGCCTTTGCCTGATTGACATCCAAGGCCCTGTTAAATGTGTTGTGAGAAGGGTGGGTGTTTTGTTCTTGTTCTTGCTTTTATTACCTGCATGGCTGGTGGGGTTTTTTTCCTGCGGCCTACCCCGAGATCTTCGGATGAATGGTTTTAGCTTTCTTCTGTCTCTTCTTTCCAGGCTGTGATCCAGAACCCCTTCAGCAATGGCGGGAGCCCGGCCACGGACGCCGTCAGCGGCGAGGCCCGGTTTGCGTACTTCCCTGCCTCCACGGTGGGGGACGCCACAGCGGTGTCGGTGCAGACGACAGATCAGTCGCTGACGCAGGCCGGAGGTAGGGAAGTGAGAAGGGCTGCGCCACCTCTCCCCTCTTCTTTCCAGAGCGGGATCCTGAAGTCTGGTCCACAAGGGGCAATTTGCACAGGGGCCATCTCCACAGACCAAGGACTCATCCGCACCATCCATTTAAAGCAGGATTGTACCACTTTTAACAGCCGTGGCTTCCCACAAAGACTCTGGTTTGTGAACGGTGCTGAGAAGGTTTTAGGAGGACCCCTATTCCCCCCAGAGCTAGAATTCCCAGAGTTTCACAATCCAGGGAATGTAGTTCTGAGGAGAATAGGGGGTCGCCCTACAACACCTTTTGAGGTGGTCGTACAAGGCTCTCCTTCTCCTCACTTTATCCTTGCCGTGACTATATTTGAAGCCGTCTTCAAATATCTCAAGGGCTTTCACATGGGAGATGGAGCAAGCTTGTTTTCTCCTCTAGAGGAGGGCAGGGCCCGAACCAATGGCTTCATGTTACAAGAAGGGCGATTCCGACTAAACACAGAAAGAGCTGTTTGACAGTGGTGGGGGCATTTTAAACAGAGGTTGGATGGTCCTTTGTCATGGATGCTTTAGTTGTGATTCCTATATATAAAACAGTGGCACCTCTGGATGCGAACGGGATCCATTCCGGAGCCCCGTTCGCATCCAGAAGCGAACACAACGTGTGTGGGTCATGATTCGCCGCTTCTGCGCATGCGCATGGCGTCATTTTGAGCGTCTGCGCATGCGCAAGCAGCAAAACCCAGAAGTAACGCACTCCGTTACTTCCGGGTCGCCGTAGCGCGCAACCTGAAAATAGTTATCCCGAAGCTACTTCAACCCGAGGTATGACTGTATAATAATACAACATAACATAACATCATAATATACTATCTACATGGTGCCTAGGGAACAACTTGCACCTTAATAACAGCAAGACAAAGGAGATGGTGTTGGACTTTTTGGAGGAAGAGAGGAGAACTAGCCCCACTGTACATCAGGGAGGGCTGTGTGGAGAGAGTCTCTTCCTTTAAATTCCTTGGAATTTATCTCAGTGAAGACCTTACTTGGAAAATAAATACAACCCAGGTGGTTAAGAAAGCCCAACAGAGACTCCATCTCCTCAGAATATTGCGGAAGAACGATGTCAATGATGATCTCCTTCTACCGGTCCACAATAGAAAGTGTCCCTTCCTACTGCATCCCGGTGTGGTACGCTGGTTTGACATCAACTGATAGGAAGTGCCTACAGAGGGTGGTGAATACAGCGCAAGATATTATGGGCTGTCCCGTGAATCCGCTGGATGAAATAGCGGAAGAAGGTTGCCTCAGGAGAGTGAGGAAAATTTTCAGGGATGATTCACACCCTGGCCGGCACTTTCTTGATCTCTCCCTCAGGCAGAAGATATAGAAGCATGATTAGTCGCACCAACAGGGTAAAGAACAGCTTCTATCCATGGGCTGTTAGGCTGCTGAATGAAAAGATAACAACAGGGCAACTGACTTTCGGGTTTGGTGGGTGTGCGTCAGTCAACGAGGGGAATTAAGACTAAGAGCTGAGTGGGGGGTGCTCATGCAATCTCACTGTATACATGTACAAGTGACAATAAAGTATTTCAATTTCAATTCCATTTCAATTCCTGCATTGAATTGGAATAAAGGACCCTTGGAGGGGGGGGGGTTGGAATAAAGGACCCTCGGAGGGGGGGGTTTGGAATAAAGGACCCTCAGGATCCCTTCCAACTCTCCGATTCTTTGACACTGTGAGGTAGGTTAGGCCGAGAGAATGTGACTGGCCTAAGTGAGCTTCATGGCTGAGTGGGGATTCGAACCCAGATCCCCAGGCCCTAGTCCAACACTGAACCACTACACCTTCCTTTCATTGAGCTCAAGGCAGCATATACTGGGTGCTCTTCCCCTGCTCCTGTTTTCTCCTCACAACAGCCCTGTAAGGTAGGTCAGGGGAGTGAGTGGCCCAAAGGCATCCAGCGCGGTTCATGTATATGTGAGTGGAGAGTTGATCCTGGCTCGATCGGAGGGTGGCCAGGGTTTCTCCGCAGCCAGCTGTCTCTCCCTTCCTCTTGCTGTTCCTTTCAAAATAGCAAGCTTAATTTCTCTTCTGTGTTGCTCCCCGTAGGCCAATTCTACGTGATGATGACCCCGCAGGACGTGCTGCAGACAGGGACGCAACGTACCATCGCCCCCCGAACCCACCCCTATTCCCCGTATGTATGGCTCCAGGAAGGGAACAAAGAGGGAGGGTCGAGGAGTCGGGAGCAAAGCTGTCTAGCTCCCTGACCCCCAATGACGGCTGTTCCCAAAGGGCCAAGGAAGCGGGGAGCCAGGAAGCCAAACTAAGATAATTGGAAGCTGTGTCACGCTGAGTCAGTCCATCCAGCACAGTACTGCCTGCACTGGGCAGGCAGTGCTTCTCAAACTGTAGTCCAGCTGTTCCTTGACTACAACTCCCATCATCCCCAGTGAGCAGGGAATGATGGGAGTTGTAGTCCGCCAGCAGCCGGGGACCCAAGTTTGAGAAGCACTGCTGTCAGGTTTGGGGCAAGAGTCTCTCCCAGTCTTAACTGGAGATTCTAAGGACTGAAGCTGGGACTTTGGGATGCAGCTCTACTTAACAGACCCCAGAAAGAATGTTTGCACCCCTTTTAAAGGGCAGGGGGCGGTGCATTGTTCCCACGGCCCACGCTCTGCCGATGGGAAGGGAGATTTGGAGCGCTTTCCTTGCCCCTTTCATATTCGCATCCTGGCACCTCTGCTTCCGAGACGTGAGCAGGGGCTGTGCCCCCTTCCCTGCCCCCCTCCTGATTTTCCCCCCTCCCATGCCTTTGCTTTGAAAACCTAGGAAAATGGACGGGACGCGGACGCCGCGGGACGAGAGGAGACGAGCCCAGCACAACGAAGGTGCGCAGAACAGTCGAACAGCCTGAACCATCCCTTTAAAAAAATCAAAATCAAACACCGCATTCAGATCGTTCTGGGATTTCTTGCCCTCCTGGGCCATAGAACCTGAGGAGAGGGTTTTCACTCACCTCTCCCTCCACTTTTCTAACTGCAATGCTACTGCTGCCCCGTACCTGTTTATTGGGTGTGGTGTGAAGGTGGTCTCTCAAGATGAATAAAATGGCGCCCTGCCAGCATGAAGTGAGCTGCTCTTGCACCCTCCAAGTCAAATAAGCCTCTGTTTCGTTCTTGCAGGGACAGCCACACTGCCAGCAGCCTCCCCCGGAACGTTTAAAGCTTAATTTTTTTGTAGCAGGGTGCTTTTAAGGGGGGCGGTTCCCTGTGCCTCTCCTCACCCACGCTTCCTTAATTACCAGGGCCTGATGCTCTTCACAAGCACCCGCTAATAACTGTGGCGGATTTGAGTCAGCTCAGTTCTTCATGGAGGTGCCATTTCCACCCAAACACCCCAACCAAGCCGGTACCCTCCATAGGCTTCGGTCTACAACTTTCACCAGCCCCTATCAATATGGCCCAAGGGTCAGGAATGATGGACACAGTAGACCAGCATCATCCCCAACTCACGGGATTTCACCTGGCGGTGGGGAACCTTGTAGCCTGCAGCCCAGCTGTGGCTTGTGGCTTAATAATTATAATAATTTTGGATGTGTTGTAAGGTTGGATTTCAGCTGCCCCGAGGTCCACTTCCAAAGCTCTCTTCTCCTTTGAATGAGCAGATTGGGTTGGGTGATTTGCTGTGGCCCCTGATTTATTTATTTTTTGGGGGGGGAAGGGGGTGGCACTGATTCCAGAAAGGTACAGTAGTACCTTGGTTCTCAAACTCAATCCATTCTGGTAGTCTGTTCCAAAACCAAAGCGTTCCAAAACCAAGGCGCGCTTTCCCATAGAAAGTAGTGCAAAATGGGTTAATCCGTTCCAGACTTTTTAAAAAACAACCCCTAAAGCAGCAATTGAACATGAAGTTTACTATCTAACGAGACCATTGATCCATAAAATGAAAGCAATAAACAATGTACTGCAGTCACACAATCAATCAATCAATCAATCAGTAGCTGAAATGGGTTCCACACAGTCACCAAAAAAAGCAAAATAAATAGCAAAAAGAAACAGATCTCAGCGTAACACTCAAAACAGAAGCATGGCACTCAAAATGGAAGCGTAACACTCAAAACGGAGCACGTTCGGCTTCCGAAGAAAGTTTGCAAACCGGGACACTTCTGGGTTTGCAGTGTTTGGGTGCCAAGTTGTTTGAGAACCAAGGCATTTGAGAACCAAGGTACCACTGTTTGCTTTTTTTAGAAAAATTCCCTTGTCTAATCAGTTCTCTGTTTTCTACCTCCCCCTATCTAGTTGAACGAAGGAGGCGGGACAAAATCAACAACTGGATTGTCCAGCTGTCGAAAATCATTCCAGACTGCAATACAGACAACAGCAAGACGGGGGCGGTGAGGGCAACTTCTGGGCAGGACATGCATGACGGGGGGGGTGTTGTTGGTTTGGGAGGAGTCACTGGCTACTGCTGCGGGTGACAGGCTCATTCTTCTTGGGACAGTTTATATTGGGACAGGCTGTCCAAGGGGGGTGTAATGCCCTCTGTCCCCCACCCCACCCCCCCGGCTGTCAGATTCTATTGCTGTGGGCAATTTTACCTGTTCTGAGCATGGCAGGGCATTTAGGAAATGTGTTCTGTGTGCCCCACAGAGCAAAGGAGGCATTCTGTCTAAAGCCTGTGACTACATCCGTGAACTGCGCCAGACGAACCAGCACATGCAAGAGACTTTCAAAGAAGCCGAGCGGCTGCAGATGGACAACGACTTGTTACGGCAACAGGTACCTGAGCCCTCCAAACCTGCCCTCCCCAGTAACAAAGACTCATTGCTGAGATGGCCTAGCCTAGCTCACAGGGTTGTTGTGATGATAAAATGGGGAGCGCGATGCGCACCACCTTGACATGACCTCCTTGGAGGGGGAAAGTGATATACAGTGGTTCTCAAACTTAATCTCTTCTGAAAGTCGGTTTGAAAACCAAAGCGTTCCAAAACCAAGGTGCACTCTCCCATAGAAAGTTATGCAAAATGGATTAATCCCTTCCAGACTTTTAAAGACAACCCCTAAAACAGCAGTTTAACATGAATTTTACTATCTATTGAGACCATTGATCCATAAAATGAAAGCAATAAACAATGTACTGCAGTCACACAATCAGTCAATCAGCTGAACTGGGTTCCACACAAAAACAAAACAAAAAGAGCAGCAAAAACACTAAATAAATAGCAGAAACAGACCAACCTCAGCGTAACACTCAAAACGGAAGTGTGGCACTCAGATCAGAAGCGCAACACTCAAAACGGAGCATGTTCGGCTTCCGAAGAAAGTTTGCAAACCAGAACACTTACTTCCTGGTTTGCAGTGCTTGGGTTCCAAGTTGTTTGAGAACCAAGGTAAAGGTAGAGGTAAAGGGACCCCTGACCCTTAGGTCCAGTCGTGACCGACTCTTGCTTTATTGGCCGAGGGAGCCAGCGTACAGCTTCCGGGTCATGTGGCCAGCATGACTAGGCCGCCTCTGGTGAACCAGAGCAGTGCACGAAAATGGCGTTTACCTTCCCGCCGGAGCGGTACCTATTTATCTACTTGCACTTTGACATGCTTTCGAACTGCTAGGTTGGCAGGAGCAGGGACTGAGCAACAGGAGCTCACCCCGTCGCGGGGATTCGAACCGCCAACCTTCTGATCGGCAAGTGGTTTAACCCACAGTGCCACCTGCATCCCTGAGAACCAAGGTACCACTGTATAAACAATTTTTTTAAAGAACAACAACAATTACCTCTCTTATCTCTTCCCCCCACCTCACAGATCGAGGAGCTGAAGAACGAAAACGCCCTTCTCAGAGCACAGCTGCAGCAACACGGGATTGAGATTGTGGGAGATGCCCCTGGGCAGTAGCCCCCTCCCCAGCTGCCCACTTTGCCACTGCCTCTTTACACAGGATCTCAGCCTCCAGTTCTACTCATCCTTTTGTACAGAGAACCCCCTCTGCTCTGAACGAACGTTGCCTCCCTTCCCGTCGCGTTGGGGGTAAACCGAGGGGAGCGGCAAAAAACCCGGGGAGTGGGGGTGGAAGAGCCTGATCAAGGGGCTCATCAGCCCAGCCACGGCAGCCTTCTCCCCCCAACCTCACTTCCTGTTGTCTTCCCCTCCTGACTTCCTTCCTCTCCTTAGGATACGTTAAGATTAAACAGACAAAAGATGCATTTTTTTATAGTAGGTTTTTAACACAGGTTAGCCAGTTTCCACTTGCCTCCCCTTTTCCCCGCTGGATCTGTGGGGTGGGGACATTTCCCCCTCCTCTGAGATGGGCTGTTTCAAAAGCTATTGGATTCTTTCTTCTCACCGTCTTGCCAGTTCAAAGCCTCTCCAAGGGCAAACCCACCGTGTTGATTTGGCCATGGGGGGAGAAAAGGAGTAGGGGTTTGGTTTTCTCAGGTTTGGCTGCTAGCCCAAGAGTGGGTGAGGTTGGACACCCCCCCCCCACGCGGTTTGGACACGATCCACAGGTTAAGTAGACACCCCACCCCTGCCTTTGAGGCGCCCTGAAATGAAAGCTCTTCAGGTGAAACTCAGTAGCAGGTTAGTTGGAATTGGACTTACGATCAGGCCAACGGGTTATTTTATGGAGGGAGCTTTGTGCCATGAATCAGGGGGAGGTTGCAGTTCGGTTTTGCCTCTCCGGCCATGTCCACTAACTCTACCCCTCTGTTTTCCCACCACTCCAAACTTGTAAAATAATTATGATTAAGGCACAGCGGAGTTCAGTCCTAAATCTTACTACTGTCTCCTTCCTTCCTTCCCTCCCTCCCTTTATTTCCTTCCTTCCTTCTCTTTCTTTCCTTCCTTCCTTCTTTCTTTCTTGTAAGTAATCTCTTATTTTATTAGTTCCCAAGCGCGTTTGTATAGAGGTACGGTGTTTGTATGATAGCTGAAACCCAGGCCATTAGAAAGAGGTTTTTTTTAGTGGTGGATTGACTTGACAACAGGGTTGCTTTTGTGTGTGTTTTTTGATATTATATAATTTTTTAATTAAACTTCAGCAGTGTTTTAGATTTCAGGTTAAGAAAATAATAATAATCAGGAGATGGATTTTTTTTTTTTAAGAAAAGAAGCAATCTCCTATATTTTGGGTTTCCTACCCCGCCCCCTGCTTTCACACAGAATTTTTTTTAAGAAAAGAAGATAAATGGTTCCTAAAAATTATAAAATATTATTATTGTAATAGCAGGTTCCTTAGGTTTGATTTTTTTTTGTTTTGTTTCATTTTATATCTCTATATACCAGCCCTCCTGGAGAAAAAAAATACATATATCCAGGATTGTAACTGGATTTGTGGTAATGTTTGTACCCAAATATCAGTCTTGCTCCAACCCTCTATGAATGTGAGGAGGAAGAGATGAAGAGAGGTTAAATCGAGGGGGTTGGGGGAAACAAATGGTATATCAAAAAAGGAAAAAAATGTTGGCTTGCAGAGTTTGATCGTTGGAAAGTAGGAAGAAATTCTGTTTATATATAAAAGGAAAAAAGAAAAAACCTGCACAGAAATAATATTGTATCAAATCATTTTGTGGTTTGACGGTGTTTGTGGCTACGTGCGGGGACAGAACGAAATTGTTTGTCTTGCACCCAAAGACCCCAGTTTGACAACCAGGGGTTTTCTGCTCAGTTGCAGTAGCAACCGTGGGGTGGAGTGGGGGGCTCCCCAGATCTTAATATGTTGTTTATTTGTTGCATTTATATCCCTCCTTTCTTCCAGGGGAAGTGCAAGGTGCTTTACATAGTTCTGTCTCTCCCTCTTCCATCCTCACAACAACCCCGTGAGAGAGGGACCGGCCCAGTGTCACCCTGTGGACTTCGTGGCCGAGTTGGGACTGGAACTCCGATCTCCCAGGTCTCGGCCTAAAACACTAACCACTACACCACACTTTCTCCCAATCCCAAGGCTTCCTCCCAAGAATCTCTGAGGGGATGGCATCGCCTTCTGCCACAAGAACTCTGTGCGATAGGTTAAGCCGAGAGATGGCAGCTGGCCCAGGGTCACCTACTAAATGAGATGGCTTCCCACAGTCCTAGTGCCTCTATGCCACATAATCATTGTGAGCAGTTGGCGAAAGATACACTCGGTCTACTAGTGCCCCCTAGACCTGCCTAACGGTTATAGCTTTGGTCCATTAGGCCTTTTCCAGCTGCAGGTTCATTGAGACAAATCCCCACAGCTTCCTGTCCAGAGTTCTGCCCTGTATCTCCAGCAGGAAATTACCTTACGAACAGCCTGCTGGGTCAGGCCAGTGGCCCATATGGGTAAGCATCCTCTCCTAGTTGACCAGCCAAGGTTCCTGCGAGAAACCCAACAAGCAGAATTTAAGAGCACAAGCATGGTCTCCTCTTCTGTGGTTTCCAGGAACTGGCATTCAGAAGCACTGCCGCTGTGTAAGTTCAGAAGTTTGAGAGATTTGCGCCTCTGTTACGAAGGCAAACATGGCATCGACCCTGTGCATTGGGTAGAAGATGCAAAGTTGTATCCTGCTAAATACAGGTGCCGCTCTTGAGTAGGGGAGTGCTTGTTGCATGGCACTTCTGCAAGAAGCCCCAGCAAGGGGGGAGAGCTGGCATCCTCCACACATCCCGTTCCTGGGGCGCACAGGACCCCTGACCATTCTGGCTGGGCTTGATGGGAGTCCTTTGAGTCCAAAAATAGCTAAAGGACCACAGGTTCCCATAGGCTGGAACATAGATTAGGGCTGTGCATGGCCCCTGTGATCTAGCTTGGGACCCAGTCCAGTCTGTGTAGATCTGTACTCACCACCACAAGCCTCTTTGCTCCTAGATAAGGTTGGGGAACCTGTGTCCCTCCAATTGCTGTTGGATCACAAGTCGTAGAATCCCTGGTTTCTGGGCATCCTCTGGTTTGAGCGGATGGTACTGTGGGAGTCCGACAATGTCTAGAGGGCATCAGGCTGCTCAATCTTCCCTAGAACAGCTGGATAAACATAGCATGTCTCCCTCTTAATACAGAACTAGAATCCTCTTAACTTGGAAAGGACCTCAGGCTCTTCCAGTCTAGCATTCCTTGGAGAACATCACCCCTCGACCCCAACCAACGCGGCCAATATTTAGCCAAAATGGGAGATGGAGTGCCACAACATCAGGAGGACCACAGTCTCCATGTCTCTAGTCTAAATTACCTAGCTATGCGGTGGAAATTTAGAATCTTGCATTGGTTCATTCGTACTGAAGATGGTGGCATTCCAACCTGGTTAAGTCCCCCAACAATCCATGGGTCTGATGGCTTATCTGGATGTTAAAAGCACTTCAGGCTACTGAAAAGCCACCAGCCCAGTGTGTGCTGAAGACCAACCCTCAACAGGGATGGTTGGTCATAGAGTGGACCATTGAGGTCTTCTGCAAAGGAGTGTTTTGGCTCAGAACCACATTAGCGCTTCCTTGAGACACTTTAGTATTGTTTTATTTATTTAAAAACCTTCACCCTCAAAGAGTTCCCGTGAAATGGGGTGGAGGTGGACTTCTGTTTTCCTCAAATCCCTTTGCATTTGCCCTCCCTCGTAGACCCCCCTCCTTCCTGGACGCCAGCCCCGGCCTGTAGTAGCAGCAGCCTTGAGCTGCTCTGACAACAAGTTTGTTGACATCCCTGCCCTGCGTAGGGCGCAGCAGGACAGCTTGCCCAGGGGAACGGTGGAGCTTGCAAGCCGCTTGGCCAGCCTGCCTGTCGCCTGTCCGTTTCTGTGCCTGTCGCCACTCGTAACCTGTGATCTTGCTGTTGCTGTCCGTGTCCCAGAATTTAGGAGCGGGAGGGGGGAGAGGGCGATGCCAGGAGGGCAAACAGGGTTATGTTGCAACGCTCTCTGGCTTGTTTGCAGATTGAGCATCATGCAGTGGTGTCCTCTGACCTGCAGTTTGGCAAATGGTTTTAGATCTGGGTCCCTAGAGAGAAGATTCTCCAAAGGATCCCACAGTGCAGGGAACATGGGGTACCTAGGGCAAGTCTCCCCGAGATGGCTAAAGAGTGAGAGGCGAAAAGAGTCCTGTCAGCCCGCAGGGTTTGGAATAAACAGTCTGCGAGAGTACTTCCCCAGGGTTCAGTTTCCTCAGGGTGAGGGACAGCGGAGACTTTAAGATATATAGCTTGTTTATGCATATGTACAACCTGAGCCCACAAAGGGGCTCACAGCTCAAGCACCCCAGAAAGGTCTTGCCTCTCCCATAGCCACAGCCTTGGATTCAAGCATGTCTCAGGCTTCTGCCTGCAGCCTGCTCCAATCTCAGCTCACGCACAGCTCTCAACTCTTGCATTTCTCCTCCAGACTACCAGCCAGTTGAGGGAGACTGCACCAATTGTTTGCCATCTGGCACATAGCCACTTCCTTTGTTACCCTAACAACTTAGGCCATTACCAAGACACTGGCCTGGCTATTCCAACAACCGAACCCTTGCTGAATCCAGGAATTGCCGTATCTCCTTGAACCTAATGCTTACCTTTTTTTTTGACCAAATTACATTGCAAAAATTAAGGTGTGCATTAGATGGCACACTCGCCAGCAAATGCTTCTTTGGGTTTCGAAGTTCTGAAAATTGAGGCGTGCATTAGATTTGATGGTGCATCAGGCTCGAGTAAATACGGTACAGCCTCACCCCTACCCACAACACACACACCCCAAAAAACAAAATCTAAAGGCTCCTCCACATGACCCATTTATTTACTGAGCATCATCCTCATTTGCTGACACAAAGCTTTCGTAGAGATCAGGTTATATCTGGTCTGTCTTGGGCATTTGTTCTGATTTTATTTGCTTTATCTGTCCTTTGCATTTATAACTCACCTTTTCCTCCAGGGACCTCAAGGGTGGGATATATGGTATTCCATCGCCTGTGAAGTTGGTTAGGCTTAAGAGGAAGGGACTAGGTCACCTGGTGAGCTCCCTGGCCTAGGGGAGATTTCAACTTAGGCCAACATGCTAACAACTACAACTCCCTACACATTGGTTTGCAGGGAGGTCATATGACATTGAGAATCCATCCTGATTTCCTTGCAGGGTAATTATATATCTTCTTGTCAATCATTCATTCATTCCACGTTATTCAGTGCATTTTTCCATCTCTTTCCTAGCTGTCAAAAACCCTTTTTTTAAAAAAAACTGGATTTATTGTGCTTGAGTGGCAGCACTCTTTAATCTGCTTTGATTGCACAGGCTCAAGGTTGTGTTCACATCACACAGTTAAAGCACACACATACATGCCTCCAGAATCCTGGGAGCTGTAGCTTACCCCTTGCAGAGCTATCATTTCAATAATGGTAATAATATTTGTACCCCGCCCAGCTGACTGAGTTGCCCCAGGCATTCTAGGAAGCTTCCAACAATAAACTACAGCTCCCGGGATTATTTGGGAGAGGGCACACTTTATAAACGCATGGTGTGTTTGCAGCCAGAATTTCCGTGTATGTGCTTTGAATCGCACCTGCAAAATACCTGACACTCTGGAGGGAATGGTGCACGTAACTGATGACCCCTAAGAAGGGAAGGAAAGGAAAGCATTGCTTATGTTGAGACTTGGGGTTTGCAGAAATTGGGGGAAATGACAGTGAAAGAAAAGCAAGTGCACCAAATAAGAATAGCCAGTTTCCTCCCACATCCTTCACAACCGTGTGATCTGAAGACAAGGCAATTTTGCTTTCTGGCTCTAGATTGGGGGAGGGAAATTTGGACACAAGGGGCTGCCCTCTGTGGGGGATGCCTCCCTGACTTCAAGGAGTCTTACCGTTGGTCCATCCAACTTAGTATTGTGCCTGTTGTCCACAAAGTCTCAAAGAATATATAGACAGAGGCTCTGAGATCACATTTGCAATCTCCTTTAGTGCTCTTGGGTGCAGCGCATCAGGTCCTGTAGATTTCAATTCCTTTTAAGTATCCAGGCATTTCCTTACCACCTCTCTTCCTATCTTTAGCTTCAACTCCCTCCTTGCATCGTTTATTCTGTTACCTCCAGGTTAGGCACTGCTTTCCTTTTGCGATAAATTCACACTAAACGCTGATGAAATTTCAGGACTTAAAAAAGAAAATTGCAAAGCCTTGTAGAAATCCAGAGAACCAAATTTAAGATTAGGAAAATTAGAAACTGAGAAAAACTGACATCAGCATATTCAGCCACCCCCTGGAAGTAAGTACCATTGGGCTCAACTGGGACTCAGTTCTGAGTAGGAATGCATAGATTGCCACAATTAATAAATTAGGTTATGAACAGGACACCCATCACAGGCTTGTTTTTGTTAGGATGGAGTTAGGGTGGAAGCCTGATGGCAGGTCCCTTGTTGACAACATTTGCACATAGTAGTGGACATCACATTCATCATCTGTGGTCACAGCATGCTCAGTCCTCACTGGGCTGTTTTAGAGTCCTGCCACCAACTTAGTGGGTTCTTTTCTCCAAAACAATGGCACCTCTTCAAAACTTTATGCAGATCCCTAAACTCTACTCTTATGCACAGGGTGTGTCATTTTTGGCTACAGGATGCACGCTCTGATAATATGTTGGATATTAGCAGACCC